GTTAATGTAGGTGGTGGGCGGCGACCGCGACAGTGGTGGGTTTTACACCAATTGAAAAATTAGCATGTTAATGTAAGATCGGTGAGCGGCCTCAACAGCGAGCGTGCTGAGGTGGCTATGTTAATGAGAGAGATTAGCATGTTAATGTGAGATCGGTGAGCGGCCTCCACGTCGAGCGTGCTGAGGTGGCTATGTTAATGTGAGAGATTAGCATGTTAATGTGAGAGATTAGCATGTTAATGTGAGATCGGTGAACGGCCTCCACGTCGAGCGTGCTGAGGTGGCTATGTTAATGTGAGAGATTAGCATGTTAATGGCAGATCGCAGAGCAGCAACCTCGAGGTTGGCGCGTGAAGGTGGTTGTGTTAGTGTGAGAAATTTAACCTGTTAATGTAAAATCGGAGAGTCGAAAATAACAACTAACATCGGAAGGTGGCAGGATGGGAACATCACAGCCAGTTATGACTTAAACTGGTTGACGTCCTTCCAATGACTGCTAAGTTTGTACCCATCTTCTCGGTTTCAATTGTGTCTGTATCTGTATATATGGATGGCTTCATGAACGAATCTTTGTTGATAGCCAGTGGGTTTGCAAAGTACCTTCGTCTTAGAGAAATCAATATCGTGTGAGCCCACCGCATCAAAACAATGATCAGCCATGGCCGAGGAATTGGTCCTACCATCTTTCAGATCAGCCTTGTCTTCACAAACACGGTCCGAGACATGTCGCTTAGTTCCCCAATGTAACTACTGCCGCAGACACAACTTAGTTTGTAGACGCCGGGGTATTGCATGTTAGGGATCACATGTTATAACCGTGCATATCTAATACCTGTATATATTAAGAGTTCATGTCAGATGCGAATTGACAAATAATCCTGACATCCACTTCGTAGGTTTTTGCAGTTGTGCGGTATAACTCTCCAACATGTTTTCGGGTTTTGCCAATTCGTTGTCCATGGCACAACCCAAACTCATTTAGTTCCGCGTACTGACAGCGTCTTTCCAGACATGCGGGAGCAAAACGTCGGGACGTCATGCCGAACGACAAGCGACACAATGAGAAAAACAAGACATCTGATGAAATGGTTTCAAAGCACAGAAGTCCTGCGTTCCCCACAGGGCTCATTCATGCCAAAAACTGAGACGCAATTGGAGAGGTCACACGTGCCAGTACCTCGAATGGAACCAATTTACCCTCCGATGAAATGAAAGCCTAAGATTTACTTACCCAAACTACTTAACAAACGAGCACTGATCGTCTCGAATGCACTCATCAGTCATTAAAACAATGTGCAGCCAGTCATAGAAGGTGCATTGATATCCAATCTATACGTCTGTGCCACAACACATTCAAAAGCACAGTACAGACCGACCATCACATTTACTTGTAGCTGATAAGTTGGAGGTAACGACTCTCTGGGTGTGGAGTTAGTAAGGACAACACCCACAACAAAATCCTATGAGGTAAAAATAAACCCCAATATCACTCGTTAGTTTCTCAATCCGCTTGTCCTGGTGAGGGGTCGTGGCTGCAGCATGTTGAGGAGGGCGGTCCAGATCTCTCTTTCCCTGGCGACAGACCCCAGCACTACTGCACTACTATACACTGCACTGCTATACACTACACTACTAAACACTACTATACACAGACTCTAGCTCATCCTGGGTAATTCCCAGGCGTTCCCAGGACAGCCGAGCGACATAGTCCCGCCAGCGTGTCCTGGGCCGGCCCCGGGGTTTTCACCGAGTTGGAATTGTGCATTTTCCATCAGGAGGAAGAATTCAACATTTGTAACCAAATATGAATTTGCGTGTGTGTAGAGATAACAGAGAGTGTGCTTCATTCCACCTCTGGCCTCTGTGTGTGCTGTGAGGAAGGGCTCTTGCCCAAAACATATACTCTTGCTTTTTAATGTCACAGTCTTGTTGACAAATGTGTTGAGTTTTTTTTTTTACTAATGCAAAATCACCAAGTATATATTAATTTAAATGTAATTTAGTACACCTATGAGCCAGCTGGGCCAGGATTGGGCATAACCTAGCCCACGTTTCACCCAGGCAACAGCAGAGCACCACAGACTAAGTGTTACTAACCTCATATTATAACTAACAACAGCGTGGTGGTTGTTCATCAACAACGTCCATATACCTCTTAGAATCAGAATATGTATTTATACTGGAGGAATCACAGCTCTTTTTCACAGATGTCCAGTAGGGACGGGTAAGACCGTTACAACAACAAACAGTACAAAAACATGTGATAGGAGTGCAAAGTGCAAGAAAGGTCAACAAAGCACCCAAACACAAACAAATACAACACTAAACCATCCCCATCCTACCAGGCAAAGCCCACTGAGGTATTTACTTATTTTTCAAAAGCGACCTGGCCACAAATCATAGCTCAACACATTTATAGCAGCAAAATCATTTGAATAGTCTATTCGCATGAACCTAGCAAGTGACTTACGGCAACGGGATTTGACAATTCCCTGTTTGCTTGCCTGCCTTTGTGTAAAATTATACCTATCCGTCCGTCTATACATCTCATCCTTTTTTAATTATTATTTATGTCGACTAAAATTATCTCAATTTCAGCGGGAGGCATTAACCCAGTCCGACCTTTGCAGCGAGCTGATTAGCCGCAGCTCCAACCGTCACCGCTTTTCATCAGCGCACAGTTGACACTAATTGCGCAATCCTTGAGAAGATAATCACAACTACAATTGCGATACAACGCACAATAGCCATCAATCAAAGCCGCATAAAGGAGGCAACGCGCGGCAAATATTATGCCGAACGTTCGCGTGCGCTGGAAGCGCGTTTTGAACCGGTGGTTTGTTTTTATTTGCCTGATGTTATTCTCACCCATCGTGCTATGCCGTCCTGGTAACGAGGCAAGGCTGAATTGTGCACATTTCCCGAGCGTCGGAAACACCGGCTGACAACAGAGCAGCGTGCCGTGGAAGGACGGTTCTCTTTAATGAGACACCACGGGGGCTCCTCAGTATCTCGGTGAGTCAACGTATCTCGACCCTCAAATGCCTGCAGGAGCAACGGGTTTTCAAGCGGCGAAGGCCAATATGCAAATGGATCCAACACCTACACGAGCAGCAGTAACGTTGCGTTCCCAGGGCTAGGTTCACGCCAAACGAGGCACAAAACATAATTTCTGGTAAACTGGGTATTTTGCGCAGCTGTTGGTGACTGGGCTCTCGATAATCCTAGCTTGATTTTGCGTCGACCTTCAAGTTTTTAAACGCAGGTACCTAATCAGCCAATCAACACGTTAAATCGCATGTGCCGGTGCAACGTTCTGGAATTGAGCACGGGAGGCTTCCCATCTCAACCCTGGACATGTTCAAGCCACCTGGCTTCAAGCAAGCCTTTATTGAGCCACCGTTTTTTTCCACCCTTCCCGTTTTTTTTCTTTCCATCTGCTGCCAATCAATAGGAGACAAGCAAACAGTGAGACCCACTTATCCAATGTGTAGCTCGGAGCTATACGGTCGCGAGACGCAACTTTCAATAAGCCCCGTAGCGTGACACCGATGGAATCCTTCAGAAGCCACTAGGCGCTGCAATGAAATCCTGTCACCCCCCCCCCCCCTCCCTGACATTTTAATCTCTCATCGTGTCCGTGATTAGTAAGGCAATCAAGTAGTGTGAAGTTAACCCGGATATAATGAACTCCAACCGGTTTTTATTAAGCTACTGGAGCAAAACTGAGTTTTAATCTAAATTTGACTTTGCTTTTGAGGCAGACCTTTGAGTGCACTGTACTCTGGGTAATATCCCGTCGCAATGCATTAGCGATCTGTCCTATCTGCATTCAACCTTAAATGCCGAGTACTTTACGGCAATGCCGGTCACCGGAACGTTCTCAGTGACAATAGACTGCATGGTCGGTAAAACAAAAACCAGCGAACGCTAACGCGGCATGCACACGGATACAGACATATCCCCTTGTTTATTTTTCCGCCACCGTAATTGTGCAAACCCATTAATGGCCCTTCCAGGGCTTTATGAGTCAATGTGTCAAAAGTCCGTATGGTATTTCTAAATTATACCAATGCGAATATGAGAAACAAATAATGAATCTGTATTCATCCATCCAGACTAAATGATTGGTTCCAGGGATATCTGCCCTGTTCATAGATATAGCATAGAAACCCTTAATATTAACAATGCGAGGTTATGACATTCCACTGGCACAGGTTTCATGAATAATGCCCTGTATAAGCGTCTAAAGATGCAAAATAAGGGGTTGCTAATATTATCAGCCATCACAGAGGGGAATAGGAGGGGGGGAATAACAATTATTCTGAGGGGTTAAAAGGCTAAAGGTGCAGCCCTGCAATTGCTCTCTCAATGCCTCTGTTGTTTTGAAGGGCCTCCGCGAGTGGAATCTCAAGACGGCACCGCTCGAGTATTTTTGGCCTACTCTTCCACACTGGTCAGACGTTTTGTAATAACTAAATTAAACTATTAGTGTAGTTAAAGCATTTTTATTTTACCAGGTAAAGCCCCCTGAGCTATATAACTCTTTTTCAGAAGTGACAAATGATAACTCAGCAAAGTGGCTTAGCATGTGGATATGTATAGCAGCCAAATTCTCTAAACGCATATTGATTCTAGACATGGAGGAAAAAGCCGGAGGGACCCAGAGGAAATTCTATGCAACCATGGGGAGAACACGCAAACTCCAAATATACAGCAGGTACCAGTGTCGGGATCGAACCCACGACCTCCTGTACACCAGGCGAGGTGGTTAACATCTCCGAGCCACCGTGGTGCCCACCGATCTTGCGACGCAACAGTCCACCCAGCAACCGGCACTTGAACTGCTTCATCCTTGCATCTCTTTGTGGATTTACCTCTCAGAGGTGTGAACACCCACACTTTGATCTCACCGCACACGCGAGGCCTGCCCATCATCGGGCTTTTACTTGCGTTGAACCCATCTACACTGCTGGGTGGACAGAGGATGCGTGGGGGGTGGGGTGAGGTGAGGTGGATTCAAGAAACCTCGCCCCCTAATCGATTGCAATCGCCACGCCGGGAGGACGAATCGAGCCCGCGCGACCTCTGCGTTCAGCGGCAGCGTCCCGGTCAACCGGTGAGTGCCACCCCCCCGTGAACAGGCTTTGGGATGGATCACCGCGCGAACCCCTCAGCGCGACAAGGACGATGACCGACACACACCGCACCCGCACACAACGACAAACAAACGCAACGGAAAAACACGCCACCGCAAGCGCCGCCGATGATTTGGTCAAGAGCCTGCCGCTCTCCTCCGAATTAATGGCACCGAACGGACAAACAACGGTCGAACGCCGCGACGCGACGTCAAGAGCCGCTTTACGCCAGAGCCGTCCTGTGAAGGGCAAGCGAAGCTAAAGTGGGGGGGGGGGGGGGGGAGACGGCAGTGCCGACGATGCCGACGACGACGTCGTAAATAATCTCGGTTCCCAAAAAGAGGATGCGCGACACGCGGTCGCAGCTCCAAAACAAAAAAACGGGGAGAGGGGGGGGGGCGAGGGGGTGGTGGCGATGGTTGTGGCAGTGTGGTGGTGATGGTAGTGGATGAGCGATGGCGTCGCGCTGCGACGGGGCCAGACGGGGCCACGGTTGTCAACGGCAACGCTTCGAGCGAGCGATGCCGTTGCGTTGACAACGGTGGCGGCGGCCGCCGTTGTTGGTTTCAGTGCGGGCAGCTTTCCCGTGTCGGGGGTGAGGACAAAAAACACTCCGCGGAGGTAAAAAGAGGCGAGCTTTAGGGGAGCACCCACACTTTACCCTGGCAGCTTAGAGCGAGCTTTAGGGGAGCACCCACACTTTACCCTGGCAGCTTAGAGCGAGCTTTAGGGGAGCACCCACACTTTACCCTGCGAGCTTAGAGCGAGCTTTAGGGGAGCACCCACACTTTACCCTGGCAGCTTAGAGCGAGCTTTAGGGGAGCACCCACACTTTACCCTGCGAGCTTAGAGCGAGCTTTAGGGGAGCACCCACGCTTTACCCTGGCAGCTTAGAGCGAGCTTTAGGGGAGCACCCACACTTTACCCTGGCAGCTTAGAGCGAGCTTTAGGGGAGCACCCACACTTTACCCTGCGAGCTTAGAGCGAGCTTTAGGGGAGCACCCACACTTTACCCTGGCAGCTTAGAGCGAGCTTTAGGGGAGCACCCACACTTTACCCTGCCAGCTTAGAGCGAGCTTTAGGGGAGCACCCACACTTTACCCTGGCAGCTTAGAGCGAGCTTTAGGGGAGCACCCACACTTTACCCTGGCAGCTTAGAGCGAGCTTTAGGGGAGCACCCACGCTTTACCCTGGCAGCTTAGAGCGAGCTTTAGGGGAGCACCCACACTTTACCCTGGCAGCTTAGAGCGAGCTTTAGGGGAGCACCCACACTTTACCCTGGCAGCTTAGAGCGAGCTTTAGGGGAGCACCCACGCTTTACCCTGGCAGCTTAGAGCGAGCTTTAGGGGAGCACCCACACTTTACCCTGCGAGCTTAGAGCGAGCTTTAGGGGAGCACCCACACTTTACCCTGGCAGCTTAGAGCGAGCTTTAGGGGAGCACCCACACTTTACCCTGCCAGCTTAGAGCGAGCTTTAGGGGAGCACCCACACTTTACCCTGGCAGCTTAGAGCGAGCTTTAGGGGAGCACCCACACTTTACCCTGGCAGCTTAGAGCGAGCTTTAGGGGAGCACCCACGCTTTACCCTGGCAGCTTAGAGCGAGCTTTAGGGGAGCACCCACACTTTACCCTGCGAGCTTAGAGCGAGCTTTAGGGGAGCACCCACGCTTTACCCTGGCAGCTTAGAGCGAGCTTTAGGGGAGCACCCACACTTTACCCTGGCAGCTTAGAGCGAGCTTTAGGGGAGCACCCACACTTTACCCTGCGAGCTTAGAGCGAGCTTTAGGGGAGCACCCACACTTTACCCTGCGAGCTTAGAGCGAGCTTTAGTGGAGCACCCACACTTTACCCTGGCAGCTTAGAGCGAGCTTTAGGGGAGCGCCCACACTTTACCCTGCGAGCTTAGAGCGAGCTTTAGGGGAGCGCCCACGCTTTACCCTGGCAGCTTAGAGCGAGCTTTAGGGGAGCACCCACACTTTACCCTGGCAGCTTAGAGCGAGCTTTAGGGGAGCGCCCACACTTTACTCTACCAACTTAGAGCGAGCTTTAGGGGAGCACCCACACTTTACCCTGGCAGCTTAGAGCGAGCTTTAGGGGAGCGCCCACACGTTACCCTGGCAGCTTAGAGCGAGCTTTAGGGGAGCACCCACGCTTTACCCTGGCAGCTTAGAGCGAGCTTTAGGGGAGCACCCACACTTTACTCTACCAACTTAGAGCGAGCTTTAGGGGAGCACCCACACTTTACCCTGGCAGCTTAGAGCGAGCTTTAGGGGAGCACCTACACTTTACTCTACCAACTTAGAGCGAGCTTTAGGGGAGCACCCACGCTTTACCCTACCAGCTTAGAGCAAGCTTTAGGGGAGCACCCACACTTTACCCTACCAGCCAGCAACTTTTTTTTCACAGTGCTAATCCCCGTTCAATCTCACGCTTCTTGAACGGGACATTTCCCAATCTACAAACCTCATTACACGTGTATTGTCATCCCTTTCGCTTCGTTGGACTGTACGTGTAGTCTCGTAAGACAAGGCATTGCCACACAAATTCCGGGCACAATTTATCGACGTAAATCAGAGATGTCCAACTTTCTCGTTTCAGAACTGTTTTGGGAAACATAAAAACATTCTTGTCATCCATTAATCTTCTTGTCATCCATTAACTGCCATCCATTGTCATCCATTAACTGAAAATAGACTACTTTTTCCCATCGTGTCTCTGCCGCTGTCTAATCTGGCTGCTGCCTGATGATGCCGGTTGTAATTACTGGGAGAAACGTCGTACTCAGATTTTAAATGTTGTGGATGTGCTCTCGAACACACAACCGGTGTGCTGTACTAGTAACGAATTGGCACGTTCTTTTTACGTGACAAACCTTGCTAATTGGCTATGTCGGGTGGTGGCGGGTTTAACGACACATTTATATTTACACGCAAAAATCTATATTATGGATCACCTGTAACTGGCCATCGATACAGTAGTGATCGCGAATTGGCAATAAAGTACCGTATTTGGTAAAAAAATTAAAGCTGCCAGATTATTTTTCGTTTTAATCCGGCACGACAACTATAGTGGAATAAAGGAGCATCAATTTTTTTATTTAAAGCTTTCGTGACTGCAGTGATTCATATTCTTGGTTCTTTCGGTAAAGTCACGTTGAAGGGAAACAATAAAACAATAAAATATATAAAACAATAAACTTATATAAAGCAAACATTTTTGTTTTTTATATATTTTATTATTTTATTGTTTTCCTTCAACGTGACTTTACCGAAAGAACCAAGAAGATAAAAGAGCATCAGTCTGTGACATGAAAGTGATATGAATTGAAAGTAACATCACAGTGATATTAATCGAAAGCAGTATAGTATATTAGATAATGAATTGCCGTTGTTTATTCTTTTACCAGTAAAACTGTGGATAATGTGATGAAGCATTTTAGGGGTAATAGATGATATGATAATAGGTTTAAAGTATTTTAGGTATTAAAGGCGCTAATTGGCACCTTTAATCTATAAACACTCATTAACTTTCTCAAAACATCTTAATATACAGAGGACTGCAGAGTTTTTTATTTTATGGTAGCACCAGCTCATCACCTGGCTGCCACCTTCCAGCTTTGACTGCGGTTCCTGAGCGACTGTGAGATGCAATTTGTATGAACGATGAAGACACTATGTATAAAGTAATAATATTTTTTAAAATTATTATCACCACGTGCACTCGTTTGGCTCTCCACTTGGAAAAGGATCCTTCCCTCATCGCTATCCCTCACACCACTTAGAAGCGATTATGCTGTGAAAAAAATATATCAGAAACGAATGTTGAATCAAATGTACCGGTTACCATATATAAGCAGCATTAATGGTGTCTTTTGAACTGAAGAGTTGCCATTGTAGACATCTGCGGGATTATTCAGTCGACGCGGGCCAAGCAAACCCATTCCAAGTCAAAGCCCAAGGCTAGTCCGAGTGGAAGGGCAGACCCTAGAAGGATGTCTGGAATAGGTCGATATCACTGCTATGTGGCCTTCCAATGACTTGCAGCCTGGCCATTGGTAACAGATCCAGAATTAAACAAACACCATCTGGTACAGGTACATATACTGGTAGCATAAGTGGGGAGATATTAGTGAAGGTTTGATTAAATGTGTTGTTTTTTACGATGAATATTTGGTTGGCAGAGTATGGGAAGCAAAAATATATATGCAAGGTGCCATTCTGGACTCGACTGGGTGCAGTCTACAACTGAGGACAGCCTTGATCACAACCCTGTAACTCAGTGGCATTGGTCATGTTGCATGATGGAGAGAAAATCTATAGTTCTGAATGACACACGGTCATCCGTGAACTGGCCTCTCGTTATACTTTAGGGGCTGCCAAATATACAGTGAAATAGAGATGGGGGATACTCGTTATCCCCTCGTTTATTCTCACCCCCAGAACATAATAATTCCAACAATTGCTACCAGTTCACATACAAAGATAGCATTAAGAGACTGTAGGAGCAAGTGCTGTTAGTGAGCACCTATGAAGGCCGACACGGCATACGAGGGGGTGGGTGGCCAGCACCACACCCGGCCGCCTTGCTGGTGTTCACACACCACACTAGCTGCTCATTTGAGGCTGAGTCGACCTAGGGGAGGCCCAGAACCGGTTCAGAAAATCGTCGCTGGTGTTGGCCGTGAGCGGGAATCGAACCCGTGTCGCCGGGTTCATAGCGCAGTGCGCTAACCGCTACACTATCGCTTCCCACGCGTGTGTATATATACAAAGATAAAGACAAAGATCCCCCGTATAGCCTTAACAGACTGTAGGGGCAAGTGCTGTTAGCGAGCACCTATGAAGGCCGGTACGGTACACGAGGGGGTGGGTGGCCAGCACCACGCCCGACCGCCTTTGTCTCCCTAGTGACGATGTTTACACACCGCACCAGGTACTCATTTGAGGCTGAGTCGACCTAGGGGAGGCCCGGGACCGGTTCA